ATCTGCTGTGTGAACTTCATACGACCCAAAAGTGTCCCACATGCGCAGAAGAGGACACGACGACGTCACACACAGCGAGCGTGCTCAGTGTTTGCGGAGGTAAACACGGATGGTAACGATGGAGCACATCTTGCTCGCCACTCCCCCACCGCTGCCACTGCCAGCGCCGCCACCAATGGAGGAAACAGAACTCTGACCGCGAACTAAACCGGCATCAGCAGCCAAGTACTGCCTGTGCGTTCCAGCCACTTCCACCCCGTCGGAGCGCTCCCCCAGGGTGGAAGTGGCCCGAATGTGCACAATCGCACCGGTCAGTTAGGCGTGAAATCCAGCGATGCGTCGTGTTCTAACAATACACTAGTTATTATAACAACTATAAACAATAAATATTAACAATAAATGAGCCTTCAAGCATCAAGCCCTCCTTGTATCTCGACCTCCGTCTTGACAATCCGACAGCCTTGCTATCCAACATAAAAGAAGGTTTTCATTTAGTGTCGGATTATCGAGTCACGACTGTATGTCTATTGACCAAACCTCCCGAATCAAACCCCAGACATCTTAAAATATTTTACTCATTTTGAACTTATACGAGCCTATCATCTATAACATTCATCAATAAGGTGTCTCTAAATTTCAACTGGCCAAATCTTAGATTTCCCCAAAAAAAGTGTGGATGTTTTATGATTCTTCATTTCCTTCCTTCTCCTCTGTTTCCTCATCTAAGAATGCAAGCGAGTCAATACTGCGCTGCCTTCATCGAACTATACCCTCTTGTGAACAATCTAATCAAAGCTGAAGGATTTGATTTAAATCGCCCCCATACATAAACCCTGGCACATATTCCATTTCCATTGAAAACATGTCATACTGCAAAAGATAAATACACTCTAAGTTCCGTTTCACTGTCACTTTAAAATGAGTGATTATGGAGCGTTGAAGGCCACAGAAAGTTTTTGACTCTGTTCAAGTTTTACTGCCACAATGCACCTGATGGCAGCTTGTGCTTTATGGATGTTTTCTCGATGAAAACTGACGGCCAGCATTTTAAGACTGAGAGAGCGATTTGAAGCGTGGACGAACGTCATGTGTAGCGAAGGCTAAAATTAAGAGAAAACAATACGTACTCCTCACTGGAGTTTGCATATTAAAAGGCCTAAAGGAGAACAGTTAAAGTATTGAGAAGCATTTACCATTGCAAAGGGGTCTCCTGAACAGATCATTGCACAACTTTATTGCTATTAAAATTGGAAAAGTAATAAACTGGAGGAGTTACTGCAGCATTTCTGTGCTTAGAGATATACTGGTTTGCCGGAAGAGTTCGGGTGAAAGTCACTGACTTAAGGACGTAGCAGGCTTGCCAAGTTCTTTCGGTTACTGGATGCACTGAATGCTGCATTGTGTGTAAATGTATTCAGATGGGTGCAGCTAATTGACACTGAAGAGAGGACACAAGCAAAGAAGCAAAGAATGCAACTTGTACAATGGCCATGCTGTGGAACACATTCCCTA